AAATAAATTATCTGTATCTTTAAAATTTACACTTAATCTATTAATAAAGTTTATTGGAGCAAGACTCTGTTGGATATTAAAAAAAAAAAAAATTAAAAAATCATTTATTTAGCACCATCGAAAATTTCTTGCAAATGACTCATTATCGAAAAACAACTTGTTCAGATCATATTTTTCACGTATTTTCTCAAAGGTAACGATTTGCTCTTTGTAAGCTTGGTAAAGATATGATTTTATATTAGGCACGTATTCCCATTCTTTGGCCCAATGGAGTCTATTGACGAAAGAAAAGAAATAATTTATGATATTGAGTTAATTCAAAATTCCGCTAATGATTAAACCAGCAAAAAAATGGACAGAAAATAAATACTTCACATTATAATTTTGAATCCATTTCTGTTCAAACGGTGAAACAAAAGTTTGAAAATCAGGAGTAAAATGGTAAGAAGCCATTTCAATGAAGCAATAGATGGCATTTGGATCTGGGTCGAAGTTAGGTGCGAGTAAAGCACGAGTCGATCTTATGATTCATGCTTCTGCAACTGCGTTAATTGAAAAATAATTTTGTACTGCTGTTTCGTAAATCTGTCAATAAGAGTTTCATTTTTTCCCGTAAATATATATTTTATATATTTATAATAATTTGAAATTAAAGAATGCCTGATATTCCTTAACAAAATTATTAAAATTCGGATCAACTTTGAATACAAACCCAAATAAATTCATTGGGAGATTTTTAGTTAGGGAGGACATAAAGTGGATAGAGTCTGGAGCCTGAAGTATATTGTTGCTCGAAAATGATCCGGGCCCCTCATTCCAGAGCATTGAAGTAATTGCAGGAGTATTTTCTGCATTTAAAAACATGATCTTGTATGCAATGTTCGCTAGCAAACTAAAATTATCTTCAAGAACATTTATGGCAGCAAATTCTTCTGGGGACAAAGTTGGTTTTTCGTCAGTTCGCACCCATTGTTTTACCCATATTTTATCCTTTGTCGAATTAAGTTGCTCGTCAAATGAATTGAAAGGCCAATAAAAGATTTGAAGACTGTCCGAAGATTCAAACAACTGCTTCACTACAGATGGAACAAAGAAATCTTTGGCTAACGGAAGAGTATCTATCATATGAAGATTAAACATTGGCTCCGTGCAGAAGGTCATAGAATAAATTATACCAAATAAGCCTAAACAAAAAAAAAGGTTAATGCCTAATTACGGATGGATCATTAAATATTATATTCTATAAATTTTATAATTACCCAAGTTTACTCTGGCGGCCTGCATTTCCAAAGCATTGTTGTGTCACTGAATTCATACGCTTTGCCATCAGCGGCGACGATTTTCATTGAAACAACTTGATCAGACATGATGCTTAATGCAGTTTTTGCGCCATGTGATCTAGTTGCAACAACCCCAGCAGCTCTAATGAAGTCTGGTACAGTTGCTGATAAAAGAGCCAATTGCGGGTTATTGTTTCGTAGGACATAATTGATTTCGTTTATTGAAGTGTCTGATATGTTTTTTAATCATCAATTAAATTAGTCAATCGTAAACGGTGTTACTAGTCGACCTTTTGGGCTAATTTTATTTTCCAAAAGGCAATTTACAACTAGCAACTCGTAAACAGTTACTT